GAACACGCGCACGTCCAGGGGGAGTGCCGTTAGGTTTGGTCCATAGTCGGTATTTCGCTGCATGTAGGAGTTGACAAGAGTCTTTCCGCACGTCTCGCTGAGGGGGAGTGTTGGAAATCAGCTTGTGCAGCTCGACGTTGCGAGACTTTTCGCGAGGTTTCCACGGTCAGGCTGAGTCAGCCGCGCCACCCGGCTCCGCCACTTTCAGTACATTGTAGAATATTCTAGTTACTTTTGTACAGTACTATAAATACAGTGAATGTAGGACTCGTTGAGGGCATCGAGTTGCCCTAACACGAGCCAGTCTCACCACTCAGCGTGATTGCAACCTTTCCCTCTCTCTCTCGCTCTCACTCGTCCTCTTTTCGTGCCACTCATCACTTTCCCACGAAAATCCAACAGACGCATTGCAAAGCAGGTATTCTCTCGCTACTATTACCAGGGTCGGGATGAGGACGAGGATGAGGATGGCAGTGGAGGTGATGGCAGTGATAAGGGCAGCGGCAGAAGTGGGGATGATAGTGGTGCAGAGACGGAGAAGGACGAAGGAATGGAGCCCAATAAGAGCAAAGGTCGTCGGACTATGCACGAGAGCACGGATCCGCTGCTCCTCAAGGGGAAGGGCAGCGGCAATGCCTTGGGGAACGCATTGGATTTCCTCCTTTTATTTCAAAAATACTGTGTCCAGGGGGCTGGACCCACGGAAGAGAGGCTGGAGAAAGAAGAGCAGGCGAAGCGTAGAACGGAATCGATTGAAAAAACCAAGGAGTGGAAGGCTCGCACGGGTAGCACCATTTGATCATTCGTATTTATAGACTTGTTTCCGAGAATATTTACTGTCAGTTCCCTTGAGAGCGCGAAATTTAAATATGTACCCGTAGTAATTGATCGCAGGAAGGATTACCAGGCGAAAAGCGAGGAAAGGAAGACCAGAGAGCCCTTCAAGCGAGGGTACTCAGCTCGGTTCTGCACACGATTTTTGCTTTCATCCGGAAAGTGATTATGCAGGTGAGATGCGAGATGCCTTGCTCTGTGTACTTGAATGCAGCGACAATTCTCTTTGTACCCTGTTCGGACTATTGCCATCACTCAAGTTGTCCAAAAATATACCCTATGTCGCCATCTTCAACGCCGCCAACTGACCAAGGCGATAAACTCGCGCCGTTGACTAGCTCTTGTCAACACCATGCGGTTCCTTTCAGGCCGTACCGTTTTCGGTGATCGGGAAGATAGCAGAGCAGACACCTGAGACAGTCTATCGCCGAGGTAGTATTTGAATACGATGTTTCAGGATCACTAGCAGCTACACAAAGGACGATGATTCGTAGGGGCCAGTAAAATGAGTGCAAAGGGAATAATGAAGAGCGTGAGGACACCAGAGCTGATGCAGTTTACCCAGGAGCCATCCAGTTGCCTGTGTTCGTACCTATTTCGCCCAGAAATAAATCGTCAGCACCTCCGTGAAGGAAAATCTCAACAATTAGAGGATGGCGAGAGGAAGAGAGAGAAAAAACGAAAAGGCCCAGGCGAGGTCCTCGGACACCAAAAAAGAGGCACACCAGTGAGCATACGTGACATAAAACGATGACGCCGCACTCGCCATGGCAAGCAGCGGTGCTACAGTCTTCACCGTGCTATACAATCTGACTCATTGACGAGCGAGGAGGTTTTGATTTGCTGAGAATGGATGCGGCGGATGCGGAAGGGAAAAGGAGTGGGACAGCGAGTCCAGACTTTGAAGAGAGGGTCAGCCTAATTGAATAAGATATAAGTAGCATGAAAAGACGTGGAGGGGAGAGGGGAGAGAGGAACAGAGGGTAAAGGGTGTGTACCAACGACGGGATGAGGCCTGTCACGACGGCGATCTGAACGCCTTTGCCGACGTATACATATAATGCATGCGGAGGCGGGATAAATGCATTTATTTCGCGTCGATTGCATTGGGGGTGGTTGAAAGTAAGTATCTGGCAGAGAAGACGAGACGAGACGTGGTTTCAATGTAGCGGAAGAAAGTACGAAGCGGCGGGGTACGCGTTATGGCGGCGATGAAGTCATCCAACCATCTTCATCTTTTCCGTCAACACGGTTCCGAGCTTTGTCTAGTCTCTGTTTCTCGACCCCGGTTGGCCCCGACTCATTCGGAGCAGCGATTTGCCGTCGGTGGGAGACACTAAAAATGAACTTGTCGTGAAGGAATAAGACGGGATAGCCTGTCATATCCTAGTGCACAGAACCAGATCTATGATACAAACATAGGAGGGCCTACTGTGCCTGCATCAAACAGGAGACTCGTCGTTGCCGCAAAAAGTAGGCCAGTCAACGGCGTTTGCACGCTCATGCAGAGCTCGAAAGTCAGACACACAAATACCATAGTCAGCACGGAGGAGAAAGGGGTATAAAGAATCATGTTCTCCGGGCTTTTCGAGGGTAAAGCTCTCAGAACGGCGGACGGCAGTCAGCACATCTTTCAGAAAATGAAGCTAGAGGGCGAGCCATAACGGGACGAAGCACGGTCCAGTCATGAACAGCATTCCCTGTGTAAACTGGTTCAAGAGACTTGCAAGAGACAGACATGGAAGCAGCCAATGTGGGAGGGGACGTGAAGAAAAGACCGAGCCGGAGCCCGACGGAAGCCGACGCAATGTCGTAGGGCGGGGACCAGAGTGAGACGATGACGAGGTCGAAGATGTAGCCCATTAGAACTTGAGGCCTGCACATGAGATATTAGGCATCAACCCACGTATATTGGAGGAGAGCAAAGGAAACGAACGTAGGTGACCAAGCTTCATACACCAACACTGGAGACATAGTACCTCCTACGATGGGCATGGGCAATGGAGCCACGGGCGACACGGTACCTGAAGTAGATTGCCATTGATCATGCGTTGATTCTCGCCGAAGAGCATCGGGACTGGGGAACATGCATTTGCCTGTTGAGGAAGACAGTAAGTATCCTGGTATTCAGATCTTACATAGGATAAAAAACAGGGGTAACGCGAAGAGTAAGAAGAAGACCGGCAGAGTCAAAGCGAAAAAACGAGAGCGAGTAAGTAGAAAAGAGTGAATTCATTAAGGTCGTCGTGAGCAGTACGTAAGGAGTCGAGCCACTAGAAGCGTTTCTGAATTACCGCGAAGAGAACGAACGAGTATCGCTGCGAAGAGATTGACGTGGAGGACGATGTCCTATGGAGGCGATGACACAAGAAGAATGGCAGGGACAGGAAATAGGGTATGACAGGACAAGGCAGGTCATACGAAAGTCAGTCACTAAAGGGGGGCGAGATCTATAGGTGTCCGAACGGATAAGATAGGGGTTTTGTGTCCATTTTTATGTACAGCCTTTGACCGAGCAAACGAATGTTTTCGCCGTCAAGTTGGGTATGGGGTCGAATGGAGTCAGATTAGGCTAGGGACAGCGATCGGTCATGAATCCGTTTTATTCCAGCTCACTATACATAGCGCACCGTCAATATTAAGACAGACCGCAAGCTGATGAACACGTACCAAACATCGCGCATCTGCTAAGCAGCAGGGCGTCAAGTCAATTTCGAGATTAATGTACATAAATCCTCGATAAAGAAGCTGCAGACAGCACGTTCATTACTCACCTCCGCTACTTTCATTGAGCAATTAGGTTGACCTAGTTTCCATCCCTAATCCTACGCCATGTCATCCTACAACTTCCCCGTCCCCCTCGCCCTCTCCTTCTCCCCGCTCTCGTTTCACGCCAAGACCTAGCCCACCGCCACCAGGGCCAGACGAAGAAGCGGCACCCATGCCAAGCTCAGGCGCCGCGCCCGATAGAAAATCCAGCCAATTATGGTTGTCTGTTCCACTTGGTCCACCGGTCCCGCCGCCAGCGCCACTAGCACTGGCACCGCCGCCTCCCGTACCAGATGTAAGAGAGGAGTGCGACGAAGAGTGTGAAGTATGTGCTTGCGACGAAGAAGGATTGAACTGCGGCCAGTCGAACGAGTACGTCAGCTCATTTGGATCGAGATCATTGAGGAAGGACCGGAGATCAAGGTCCCCGAATCCTCCTAGCATAGACATAGACTGAGAGGTGGAGTGAGATGTCGATTGAGAGATTGGGGTGGTGGACAGTGATTCCGAAGGAGTGAAGGGACCGACAGTGATGTGAGATGGACCAAGAACAACGAGATTGTACTCACCCCTCCTCCGTTTCCTCCTCCAGTACCTCCGGCTGCTCCACCTGCCATACCGCTTCCGGCCCCAGACGATCTCGGTCCGTCGCCACCGGGCCCACCGCCCGACCCAAACACACCGGTGAATAAATCATCCGTCCCAGGACTCATAGGCCCTCGTACAGCTCCACCTCCACCTCCACCACCACCACCTATACCAGAGAACGAATGCGACCGCCCCGGAGCACCATACCCAGGCTGGGGTGTTGAGCCCGGCGAACCCGAAGGGGGGAAGCCCGCAGGTCGGAGAGACGGTGGCTGAATCTGCGCGTAGCTTCCCCCTCCAGCGCCCGAGCCACTATATCCGCCAGCGCCATGCGAAGACGAATCGTCATATCTATACGAGGATCCACCCCCTCCGCCGAACCCAGCAGTACTAGACAGAGGCGGCGATGTCGGCGAGTGATGTCCATGGGAGTGGTGCGTATCGAGACTAGTGAGGCTCGCGTTCGAAAGCCTCGGTCTCTTGTTCGGATTGGGGTTCCCGTATCCACCACCGCCTCCACCGCCAAACGAAGCGGAATGAGGTCGAGATGACGGATGTCCATATGACGGTTGGTGCGAACCGTGCGACGGGTAGGTTGAGTGCGACTGATGTGGGGAGAGGTGGTGTGATGTATGAGCATGGGTATGCGTGTGACGATCGGAAGAAATGGGCATCGTTGGCGAAGTCGTTATGCCAGATATGCCCGAGAACGAAGGGTAGCTACCTACCGATCCGAGGGAAGGGATGGATAACCCGGATGAGAGGGCGTGCGGGTGGTGCGATTGGTGCGACTGGGAGGTGAAAGAGGCATAGTCCATCTGTGACATCCACACGAATATCAGCGTCAAAGTTCACTTCTGCAGAGAGCTAAACCTAAGCACTAAGCGTAAACAGAGATGAAAAGCCATCCAGAAACCGCCGAAAGAGACATCGCATACGACATCTGCTGGACTCTACGACAGGAGCTCGCCGCCACAAGAGCTCGAGGTGCCATGAAACAAGACGACGACGAATCTCTTCCGTGTACATAGCAGATCTTCTCGCTCAGACACGCATGTCTGCTCCACACCATACATTGCGCGTAATCGTTAGTCACGCTTGAGTGAACGGATCGGGCTAGTGTGAATCTCGCGAACACAGTCACAAGTCTTGAAAAACGGAAAGCCTGGCAAACCACAGACGTAATACGCCTCAGTGCCCATCCACAACTAGCGTGCTCCGGATAATTTCGGAGGATCACACTGCCCAGAACAAATGGACAGGGTACTTCTCCCTGCCTCGCAGAATACAGCCTTGGGCTTGAGAAAAGAAGACACCTTCATTCCGAAAAGGACGATCCGCACGCCATCGTTCTTTAACAATGACGCCGCTCGCAAAACTCCGACGACTGGTCTGCGGGTAGACTGGGAGTAACTGGACAGGATGCCCGAGGTTCATGACCAGCGAATCGAACGGCGACGTCACGTTCGAACCGCAGGCATATCCGGTAGATCCGCCGCTGAGCCACACTGACTCAAACACTGCACATACGAAGGGCCAAGCATAGGAAAGAAAAAGAGAACGAGCGAAAAAGCGAACCAAAGACGCAAGACTCACATCAATCGGAAGCCCCTCGCTCTTCACAGGCACCATCTTCCCTCCTCTCCCTCCTCCCATGCCGCCTCCGCCAGCCAACCCACCTCCTCCGACACGGGAAGTAGGGTCGTCCGTCACGTCCTGGTCATCGTCGTCGTCCCCGCCATCGTCACCTGCGCCAGCGCCAGCACCGGCGGCGCCGGCACCAGGGGGTGCGTTGCCTGAGAAGTCGTGTGGGGTGCGAGTGTCGCGTTCGCCGTCGAACTGTTGGGAGAGGACGTGGGTTAGTGTGACCCCCGAATAAGAGTATAATTACGGATAAAAAAGGGTAGAAGTGGTATAGTATTCAGGAGAGAAATCAGGAATAAGAGCGGGGACGATAAATAATTGGATATCGTGAAGGAACGAGCGGGGACGCTCAAATACGGCAAGGAGACATGCACTATACGGTAAGGTGGAAGAGTGGACGGAAAGAACGAAATAGAGAGCGTAGGAAGGCTGGAATGCGCGTGCGAGAGATCAATGAAGGTGGAAAGAGGAGGGATGATACCAGAGCGCAGAATGGCTGAAGTGAAAGAAATGTGGTTGACGGGATGACAGTATGAGCGATGGGGGTAAATATTGATACATAAAATTGGTGGAGGGCGTGGAGACAGAGAGGAAATATATTTAAGCTGGATATAGGAAGAGGTTGGCATAAGATGGAAACAAAGAACGGGGCAAGAATCAGGAGGCAAGGGGGGAAACAGATTGGCGAAGCAACAGATGTAGAGAATATAAACGGTATAACTGAACACAAGGGGAATAATGAAGAGGACGAAGGATGGATATATAGGATTAGACACGTAGACGAGCGCGGCTATCGGAGAGAAGAGTGACGAGAGTAAAGGAGGAAGATGGTGTTCGTGCGACAAAAGAGTAAAGAAGTAACAAGAAACGGATACCGAAATAACAAACGGACGTACGCGTCGATGCCTGTCCACCATGCCCTGTATATCCGTCGAGCAGTATTGATAGAGTTTATCCGCATGTCCTTGCCTTCGTTCTGTTCGTTATTTGACGCGTAGGGAGCGGGGAGGTCATGGATGTTAGATTTGACAGTTGTGATGGCGAGAATGAGCGCGCGAGAGCGAAAGATTGGTACACGAAGCCGTAGTCAAGGCGTCGGTCGTGAGAATTGTCGAAAGCGTCGTTGTTCGTCGACGTTGACCATGATGAGTACGAAGTTGTCGATGAAGGACAGTACGGGTGCAAGGTTGTTGAAGAGGCACGGAATTGCGAGTGTGAGCTAAAAATAGAATGGCGACATTGGCGAACTCACCGAAGATGATGACGGCGACATCGACTGAACACAACACGCCTAGCTCATATGCTTTTTTGAATAGTCCCGTCTTGCGCTGTTCGTCATCGCCGTCGACGGCAACATTGGCATCGAGTCGATAGTCGAAATGGCGGTTAGAGAGTGAGTGCGATGACACGGACGACGGTGAGCTACATGGTGCTATTTTTACGACTAAAATGGCTTGGCGAACATACCTTTAGGAAAGTGACGGAGCGGTTGCGCTCGTTCTGCGACCACGATGTACCGCATGCAAGTAAAGCGTCGACGAAAATAACGACGGCGACGGCATGACGGTAGGCGTAAATGCAAATGGGTGGGTAAGTATATCGACGGCGAAAAAAATAGCATAGGAGAGATGGAATGGGGTAAGGCGAGGCGAGGAGGGAAGAATGCATACGGTTATAGGCTGGATCTCAATCTTCCTTCGTCCCATCTTTCGCTGACTTGTTATTCGTGCTGTGCTTTTCCAGGTGTGCGAGGGGGCGATTGCAGGTGCAGGTGGGTGCTCGAGTTGAAGCTGGGGTTGAGGGAATATACGGTCTTACAAGGGGCGCCTCTGGGCCATCAAACAACGCCAAACGAACGGTGCCCTCCCAGCCTTTTCTTCCTCGCTGACGCTTCCGGTTCGAGTCGAGCTTCCAGAGCAAAGTCTGCTCGCTCGTTCGCCTCTTCCCGCTCTGCACCCGTTTCTCCGTTCTTCTTCCTTCCTCAACGTAGCTCCCGTCCATGCCGCGACGCTCTCCCTCCCTCCCTCCCTCCCTCTCTTCTCTTCTTGCCAGCTTGCTCATCCACAACTTTCCCTCCATCGCCACACTTTACCCTCCTCAGCTTCTGATTGGCTTCTCCCACCCTCTTTCTCTTTCCTTTTTCGACTTATCCTCTTCGTGCCATGCTCTATCTCATGCGCGCCACTACAGGGCCTCGTTGCAATCCCTCCAGCCACTATCTTTCTCCGGATGGTGCGAACCTACTTCGAATTCCCACAACTCCCACCGCCACCTCTTCATGCCGCACCGAGGGCATGCTCCCTCCCGCTCCGTTTCTCACATCCATACCATTCTAGCCAATACCCCGCATCGTCCGTCACCTGTTCCTCCCATTCGCTTCTCTCAAATCTCTCATCTGACGCACACCCCTCTTCCGCGCTAGACCTTTCTTACGCGTGTCCACATTCGCCCACATTCCTCCATCAAGAAAGCCGCAGACCTTCCAGCACAGGCCCTACGACCCAAGAACCGACAGATCGTTTCCATGCACCTTCTCCGGCAGGCCTTGCCGCCCGTTCTCAGGATCGTTCCTTCTCCCACACCCTCCCACACGTTCAGGATTACTCCCGCCCAAGAACGCTCTTCGCAGAAGTATGCAGAGGAAGAACCCGCGGCATCGCTCGGCACGACCTCGCGTACGAAGGAACGAACTGGAAACTTTGATGCTCCGATACTCTCAGCGCGAACGTAAGGTCCGATCTCCCTCCGCCTTACCTTCCCTCCCTCGCACGCTTGTTCTCCTCGGGCTTTACGTTCTGCTCTTCCGCCTGTACCTCTTGTTCTGCGCAGCGTCATCTGTCCTCTATCTATCTTTCGTAGACTTTTCTCTGCCCTGTGAGGCTACTTGGGCTTGGCATTCGATCAGGATCGTGAGCTGATTCTTCGTTCGAGGAATGAACTAGACAGAGTTGATGCAGAGACCGTGACCGTGATGCTATCTCGCACAGCTCTTTATCCTCTGCCTAATGGTTCTGCCTGCACTCTCATCTTCTTTTGTTCCTTTCTGCGGCGTTCGTCCTTTGTTCTTTGTTCTTCACGATCAACATCCCAGGGCGTAAAACCCCCAGATGTTCTGATCTCTGACTGTCTCCATTCCATTCTGTTGATGCGGCGCTACTGGTCTACAACGATCGGTTTTCGTCCACAGCCTTTTGCCTTGTTGCCTATGTGCAGATCTCTATTGGCTCTCTGGACCTTCGTGCTTCCGCCTGAGTCCGTGTTTTGATCGCAGAAGAGTCAATTGAGCGGTTGCGTTTTCCGTTTCGTTCGAATAATCTCTGCGGCTTTCGCTCGTAGTTCTAGCTCTCACACAGCCGTTCATTGAAGGTCGAAGCATCAATCATTCGCCGTCTGGTTCCAGCCTTCGCTCACCGCTATTGCTCCCGAATGACCCCTGTAACATGACCGCCTGAATCTCTGGTTTTCACACGCCCGTTCATTGAAGCTCGAAGCGGCTCGTATTACCAGAAGTTCGAACTCGAAGGATGTCACTGGATTCGATTTTGACTCTGGAAATGAACTGCATGACGCCTGTTCTATGAAAGAGCGCTGGGAGATACGATAGCGTGAATTCGGAGGTGGCGTCCAGAGGGTTCTTCCGCCTCCGTTAATTATCGTCCATTAGGGCCGTTCACGTCTTCCGTTCATTCTGATTGCGACCGTCATCGGTCGTCGTCCCTTACGCCCCCGAGGCTACCGAGGCTGCGCTAGCTAGCCTGCTCTCGCCTGGTATGTGTTCTGTCCTCACCGCGCTACCCTCGGCGACAGGCATATCAGCTTGGAGCTTCCAGCACAGTAGACATCAAAGCCATGAAGCTGCAGACGCCGCTAGCGCGCCTTGAATATGCCCATAGCTCATTGCATGGGAAGCTAGTACGTTCGTTAGGGGATGGACGGTGTCTGTTTTACTGATCGTCCTCGGGCAACACGCTCCCGCTCTCCATTTCTCTACTGCTTCTCCTGCATCTCCTCATCCTATCAGCGCAGTTTGAGCTGCAACCTAGTGCCCACGTTTCTAGGCATCGTGCCATCGAGCCAGTGTACGCTAGCTGTCCGTGCTCTGCTCTGTAATGTAGCCCACTGAGGCCTGCCGAACTCCATCGAACCACCTCTGCCCTTGTGTGTCGGTCAAACTGCTGGCCCGCACATGCCGAGGACCTTGACTAGTGGCTTCTTTCATTTTGCCCGTCTGGTTTTTCCCTTCCTCCACTTTGTGCTGGATCGTCATGATTAACCTCAGGTTACGCTATCTTCTCTCCCACTAATCAATCGTCTTACGTCCCAATTTTTCTGTCTGGTCTCCGACAACGTTTCATACGTCCCATCGTACCCCGACCACCCCAATCGTGCTGTCTAATACTTCGGCAACACGGTCCATCCATACCGTCAGGTCGATAATGAGTCGGTTTATTCACCATCCCTCTCCTCCGCCGTTCTCTGTACTGACTGCGCTTTCCGCCCCGCCATTGCGCTCATTCTCCCTCGCAGCGGGCCTCACCACCGGCTCACCTTCACAGTGATTGCGGGTTCATCTTTCAACACAGATCACATCCCGTGACATCATCCTCATCCACTATGTCCTCTTTCGCATCCCATTCTTCCCACCGACCGATACTTTACACACATACCTCCCTCTGCACACCTTCGTCATCGAGCCCATCTCCTGACCTCTGACGGTCGAGTAGAGTTTGATTCGAACCCCCCTGACCGAGGTTGCACCTTTGTCACTCTCCTCGGGCTCGGGGGAAATGCGGCGCGTTCGCTCGTTCGAACTTCGTGCGGAAAGGAATAGCGTTGGGACTTCGACGTCGACGTGGAGTGCGTCCTCGAGTCGGGAGTTCTACGGCATCCTTTCCCCAATGCTGCGTTCTTACTCCGTTTCCTCCATACCCCGTCCTGTATACCATTTCGTGTGCAGGTCTCAGGTCCAGCTGATAGAATGACGCAGTGGGGTATGAGGTAGTCCGAATGGTCATACCGCCTTCGTGTGCGTATCGGCATGGGTCCGATGATTTCGCGCTAATTGTTGGCCACATTTCAGACGGAATTATAAAACTCGTGTGGGCTGCCTAGTGCTCAGCGGTCCGTATCCGGGATCCGTATCACAGCACAAGCAGCATTGATCTTTTATTCCCCGATTACAGGCTTCTTCATCGGTAACTCGTCCGCTCTGCAGTCAATGCAATTCCCATTTCAAATTTAGTACGCTGATTTCATCATTTTCCCCAGACGTTGCAAAGCGTTAGCAGGGCATTCAAACCTCATCACCTACCACCGCAGGTCAGACACGTCGACCGAGTCCATTCGAGCACCATGCTCGTTCTTAGGCAGGTAGATCCACCAAAGAGCAATATATCCTTGACCTCTTGTTTCATGGAACGGTAGTTTCCGGTCTTTCACCCTCGGGCTTGGTATAAGCGGCGAATGTGCGCATGTTTTCATGAGTCAAAGCTGAACCGTTGCCAGGTCAGAGCCTTCTTTAATTACACTGAGGCGCTGCGAGTGCAGCTGTCGATTGACTTCGGCGAAGCAACCTCTCCAGCGTTTCATCGTGCGGTTCGGAAGAGCCTCGAGCAGTTTGGCCGCTCCTGTGCGGCCTTCGTTGGCTGCTGGCGTGGCTGTGGGTACCCCACTGACCTCCTCGTTATGATGCACTATTAATGGGTTGCTGGGCGGCTTTCGTCCGGTACCTTTTCCTTGCTTGTATTCAGGTTTGTCGAGACGTCCATGTCGACTTCGTGAGTAGAGGAGACGAGCCGTGGTACTCCCTTGATATCTGTCCTCGATCATAATGTAACTGATGGCAATCTTGCAGACGCAACTGCACTATGGTCCAGCTTGAGTGCTTATGAGAGCAGATAGTTGGCTGCTTCCCAACGGCGCTTTGTAGGGGCCGATCAAACTGTGTGATACTTCCTGTTGCTCCAGACCATGAGCGGTAGGCCGATGGACTGGAAATCTTCCTGACCATCAGTGTACGCCCCACCTTCCCATCCTTCGGTGTTCAAGTATCCTGAACTCTCAACCAGATTGGTCGAACATGAACCCTCTTTCTTGAGGGTCTCGTGTGCGATCCGTGCTTGGTTCGAAGTGCACCAATCTGCTACCTTGAATGCTATCGAGCCGCGACGAACCTCAACGCTGACCATTCTCGATAATAGGCGAAACGTCTCCGCGGCTTTGGCGCCAATAATGAAAGGGTCCACGGAGTCTGAAGAAGATGAACGTTACACGGCGAATTTTGACAGAAGCGCTCGACCTCGGCGAAACTACATCCATGCTGTACACCGTCAACCACCGTATCTTTCAGGCTCTCTCTCGTGGGGCGCTGCAGCACCGGTGAATGTGGTTTAGAGTAGAGCTCGCGTTAGCCCATGGGAAGGGATGAATATATTGCTCCATGGTGAGGCAAGTTCTGAGGTCTTTGGTTTTCTCGTCCTCTGTTGAACAGTCGTTTCAACACCCGTATGAAAATAGAACCTGAATGTACCATCCAGATCTCGTCTTACCATTATAGGGCGACTTCATTGACGTCCTGCCATTAAGCCTCGCGTTCATCGCTCTACGCCACCAGAAATTTGACTTGTTTTCGCCGATTAAGTATCAACATCATCACGGTTGCACTAAGCTGCCGATCTGCGGAGTACGGCTATTGGAAAATCTAATGCACGGTTCTGACGGCACAACGTAGGCCTTTTGAGTGCTTACTTATACGGACCATGGTAGGGATCCATGTGCATGCTTTGGTTTCTCCAGCGCTCTCAATGTACATTTGATGTGCATAGTCAATGTCCGACTATGTGTCGCATAGAACCGAAGAATCGCGCTAACGGTCCGATCTAGTGAGAAGTTTAATGCGTGTTTGGGGCCGTTAAAGTCTGAGTGGCGTGATCCTCACGCCACACTTTGCGCCACTAAGATAATCTTTCAATTGTTCGAACTACTTAAACCACGTGGTGATGACGTGGCCTCGATCATCTTCCTGGTTCCATAGGGTATTTTTCTTGCTTGTTCTTGCTTGACCCTCTCCATCTCCTACATCGTCGGCTTCGTCGATTATCTCTTGATAGCTCTACCGGGCTACCTTACTTTTCTACTCTCGGATGGTTGCTCTCCAAAATTTCGAGGCTGTCGCGGCCGCGGGAGTTCAGCAATCTCTGATTTGGATAGTTAACAAGGACTGCCACTAGGTACGTTCTGTGAGTCTAAGCGCTTCACTCGTAATGAAGTCTCCATGCCGTGTCGTCCATTATTTAGCGGTTCTTGGCTTGTCTAGTTCAATGTCAGGAGGAGCCGGACATCGCCGACTCATCCGGAGATCTTCTCTATCCATAGATAGGTACGCGTACCCACATGTGGACCCCTTCATCCGACGCATCGCGCTCGCTTAGACTAATCCTGGACTAATCATTTCACCAATAAAAGCACCGTCAGGCAAGTTATAATTGTAACTATTTCATATTGTGATGGAATAAGTCAGCGAGGCTGTGAGTCAGTAAGTTGAACCTTCTACGGCGCGTGCTGAGCCCTAGTGCAGGGATAGAAGGTGAGTGTTGTTTATTCCTCCACGCCGTGAAGTTTGTAATGAAATAAAGGGCACATAACTCTAGAGGTCTGATTTTCCCACTTTTGAAGACAGTGACTCCATGCTTTCTTCAAGGTGTACGCTCAGTGATGGATAATTCCGTTTTCCTGGACAGTCAACGCAACTGACACCTTTTTTTCGATAACTCACTGAAACATCTCTTTCTTTCTACTGTAAGACGGTCGAAACTGATACGATTGCCAGCTATTTCGAATTCAATTAGATCATCTGACCGCCACCAGTGCATCTATCGAATCAAAATTTCACCCTATCAATACTCTAGGATCCGTGTGCCTACAGGTACAGATCCAAAGTCACATTTAACGAGGAAAGAACATATTAGAAGACGGGGAACACCTACACTTAACGCTCGAGTACTCTGTGAGTCCGAGACTTTCTCCGTCTAACGTTCTCCCTTCATGGTCTTGGGTACATTCCTTCGGTTGTTTACAGGGTCTTTGCCGTGCGCATCCTCAACGTTGCCTCAACGTATCTTCGTGCTTCAGCTCTCTCTCTGAGCGCTTCAGGAACCGTCATAAGGTACATTTGTTTGCTACATCTAATGCCTTTCGTTCGGCCGTCCGAATCGTACTCTGGCGGAAACATATCCGCTCTCGCTTCTACATTCACCCCGTAAGAATGCATTCTCTCTCGACTAACTCGTGTCAAAAATTTTTTATCTTAACTGAAAGATGCCGTATTGCACCAGTGTGAACACATCTACCGTGTTCTCGCTCACATCCTGCAGCCAGCTCTCCAACAGCCTTTTCATGATCCGATATCTCACCGTGTGGTCTAAAGCCTTATGGTGTGTACAGGACTGCCTTCTCCAACATTCGGTGTAGGGGTTCCATGCATTCATGTTGAGCGGCTTGATCGCGGCTCTGAAGATGTGAGCGTAAAGAACTCCTACAGTTCGGTCTTGGCATCTTGTTTTCACCCAGCCCCGACTATTTCCTCTCACACTGACAGCGTTTTCCCCGTCAGAAGATTCACTCGTGACGCAGAGTCTCGTACAGTGATCGACTGAAGGGGCTCGCCGCAAAGTCATGTTCTTTGCGCGGCACCTCCACTTAGCTAGCACAAACGCCGCATTTCCACTTACTTCTCACAGTCGGCGAGAACGCAGGGCGATGGGCGATACCGTAGTAGGTCCTCGGTGACCAAAAGGGATACCGCTAGTGCGTTCTATCTTTGTCCATTCCATGTTATCCGATGGGTTCTGTCTCTTTTCGGATCTAGGTTTATCTGTTGTGCTTTCCTGCACTGTTCAGTATCACCGTTCTCTCGATGTTGTCCAATAAACAGTGGTTTTTGCGATTGAGGAAGCGTTTAGTGATTGGCTGTTCACACCTGCCCACAGACGATCGTTCATGTACACACCGTCGTTGATTGGATGGATGAGCACAGTCCGGATGTGGCGATTCAGCGTATTCTCACAGGTTTCCGCTGTTCCTGTTCACACGGAGCTACCACTTGCTGATGTCGAGGGTTATCTGGCTGTTCCAGTAAGCTATCGCAAGTAGGTGTATGCCCATCTGCTTCGAAGGACGAGACCTGACTGTCACTAGGATAAACCCTTGTGAGCACAAGCTCAACTTCCTCGCCTCTGTATCCCAAGGTCAATCCTAGAAAACGGACGTCCGTTATTCCATATTGCGCAGTCTTCCTGTCTAACGTCGGCGCACAGGACCATAATGTGTTGGTTCACTTTCCCTCCCTCATCGTTCGGTTGTGCTCACCGACGATCTACACCACTACAGATACTTATCCATCTGGGGCAAGCATGCCAAGAAATAGCCATTATTGTCGACAAGCTTCGTACTTCGCTTCTTGTATCCTCTATTTTCGTCCTCGTATAATTATCCCTGATAGAATTTTGGGATTTGTCCTGGCGAGTTTTATTTTTGTTGACGTTCGAGATCGACAGGCGCGATTTATTTCTGGCAATACGAAGAGAGATCTACGATTGTTATTATGCTTGTGGTGCCTGGCCTGTTCACAGGTGAGCTTCCCTGTGCTCGTTGCGTCCCTTGTGTGTATTTTGAGCGTACGGGTGCTATATGTGGGATTGCCCCTTGGCACAGGATAATTCGCGAGTGCTCAGGGTTAGGAAATCTTCATTGAGAACCTGGGCTCCCTTGCTCTCCTCGAGGCCGTTCAATTCATGTGCCTGTTTTAATTCTTTGCTCACTTATGCGAATGCAGCTCAAACATTTGTAAGTATGTTGGTGTCCTTTCGTGCTGAATACAAGTCAATAAAGCGATACGGACCCACTTACGCAGTTTTATCTACGCTACAGATCTGTTCTTAGTGCTGCATTTGCATACTCATGTTGAACCAAACACCGCTACTGTCGGGGCCTGAATCAGCCCCTACTTGAGCTCGAATTATGCCCATGCGAGTAAGTGTGTAGTTCATCAAAAAGAAACTCATCAATTCATAGAAAGGACTTCGATAATATTGGAGCATGTCTATGAGAGCACTGGGAAGACGTTCGCCTTCGATATTCATTGCTGTCTGAGTCAAACGACCAAGTCAACACTGAATACAGTTGCCTTAGAAAAACCGTCGCCGCCAGCTGACCCCTTCACCACGTCGACTTAGAAATGTCATTCTATAGTCAGCAAGGAGCTCCTATCAATGGAAGTTTGTACGGTAGCTCTTATGGCCAGGAGCATAAAACGATATCACGAGCTCGGGATGTCTCCAGTCGAATGGGCGGGACAAGTGTCCAGTATACTGTGCAAGGCAGATATACCGCAGCGGAGATCCCAGAAGGCAAGCAGATGATTGAAAGCCAGAATGGATGCGAAAGTAAAGCGAGTATGATCCTGAAAGAGCCATGACCTATCTATGGCGCACACGAGAGTGAAGTGAGCGACGACTCGAAAGCTCGTTTTGGAGAGTCTCGAGTAGAGAAATCTACTGACCCTCCGAGCCAGTCGTACGTAGGCAGCGCGATGGCCGGTGGAATGAATTATGGCTCATCAGTCTCGGATCAGCCAGATAGAAGAGATATAAAAAATCAGGGCTAAATCTAGCTACGGAGAGGAGACAAAGAGAAAGAGATTCAACAACTTACCATGCTCCATCAGTCTTCAGTTAGCACATTCATCATGGTAGACGGCTAAGGCACATACAGGGGAAGAGAACTACGCTCCGTACGTCGCCTGCCCAGTACCTATAGCATAGCACTATAAGTGCATCAATGACACAGAGCAAACATTGTACACGTCCAAATGAAGCAGCCTTGATGCAGTGTGTAGCGGAGACAGCGTTTGGCATAGACATATCAGGTTCAAGACCAGTTTGAATAACGACGAAGCAGATCAAGACCAGTTTGAATAACGACGAAGCAGATCAAGACCTGACTATGATTCCCTGAGAGGAGACATAACAAAGTTCAGAACCTTTAGAAGATGACCATATCTACGAAAGAAAGCGAGGTCAGCCGCTCGATTATGCAGGCCTCATGCGCATCGACCGACACCCAATCAGATTCTGCACCAAGAAGATTCCACAGTAAAGTGTTTCTAGACTAAGAGTCATGTCCTCAGCTGAAGTTCTCGAGGTGGGAGTGGGACAGAAGGAGCTGACTGCCAGAGATGAACGAGATGGTGCTGGTTAGAGACAAACCCTCGAGGACTGCAACTCCAACTCCACGTCATCTCATCCGAGAATGCCGAGAAGTCGGCGCTGTCGCATCGAAACTTGTGGCGTGTGGCGCCACTTTCCTTCTCTGAGCTCTCGCAAGACTCGCAAAAATCCAACCAGGGCGATCTTCCGCCTGCGATAGAGACATAGAACAAGGAAAGATAATGTTATATTGATAGAAGAGCGAATCTACCCAGTTATATATACAGTATACAGTTTACGTGGATTGTGATATATATACATATGGAGACACGAAAGCAAGGAGACGGACGTGACTGGGTCGTGAGGTATTGAATGCGAACAGCAGTCGAGCAGTACAACAGACCGGAACTAGCAAAAATTAGAAGCAAAACAACACGGCCAATGATTCGAAGCAAGGACACAACAATCTTGCAACGTCGCGAGCCAGCGCTCTCAACGACTTGAGGACCGAGATTTCCCTTGAAGGGTGAAGCGAAGCACCTAGTGCCTCCTAATGCCCACATCCTCTTCCATCTTCTCAACCTCACCCACCGCCTTCTCCTTCATCTCGCCCGCCTCGCCCGTCCTCACACCCTCCCTCACATTCCCACGCCCCGGCTTCTCCACCGTCCTCATCCCGACGTTCTCTTCCGTCAGCCGTTTGCGATCCGACCGATGCGCAGCACGCTCAGTAGCGAGCGTCTGAGCGAACTTGGACGCGGCTCGGATCTGGGGGCCTTTCCAGTAAAAGACGAAGACGGGGATGACGACGAGAATGCCGAGGAAACCGAGGAGGGTGGAGGCCCATTCGAGGGAGTGGGGGCCGAGATTGGAGTACACTGTGGGTGTGGCAAGTGTGCGTTGAGATCATATGATGACGGCGAGCAAGTCGGTTGGTCGGTTGGTACGTGAACAAAAGGCAAAGGTGATGATGAGGACAGATTCATCTTAAAAGAGGCCAGAAAGGAAGTGGACGTACGAGGCGTAGCGTACATCGCCGAAATGCCGGCGATGAAATCTCTGGCCAAGGCGTTGCCTCCCGTCGCAGAGGCAGAGTAAACACCGTACGACGCCACCATGTAGTCGATAGTCGACATATAGATCGTGAACTGGATTAAGAAACACACACCAGTCAGCATTGTGCTCGGTCGAGGGAACGAATGTGGCGGTGGAAGGATGGCAATACACAAGAGTCATGCAGCAAACGGGTGGAAGGGAAGCACGAAAGAGAACCAAGAGAAGAAGACGAACGTTGGCAATTGCGATGAGGACAGAGAAGATCATTGGTGCGATCCAGTGTGTGTGGCCAGGACCAAGCGAAGTCCACGCGAAACCGAACAGGCCGATAGGTTCAAGAGGTGCAGCTACATGCGTTCCACAAATCGAGATCAGCAACGGTCGTGTGTGAAGAAGGACAGGAGGGAACGATCGAGCAGCGGAAGTGGATGAAGAACGGAGGCAGAGAGGAACAGAGACGGATGCTTACTCCACAATAGCCACCAAAGCCTTCCCTCCGGCTGCGTACCCAGGGGGTCTCTGCGCTGCTCCTTGCGGAACTTCATGATCGCCGGGATGTATGTGACATATGCGATGAAGTAGCCGAGAAGGATCCTATATGAGCACAATATATGCATCAGCACGAAAATGGAATGAGGATCGACAAGAATAGCGGACGTACGGAATGAACGAGAGACCGACTTCGACGGTGCCGAAGCCCCATTGCTCGTACACAGGCGAGAAGGCATCGAGGAAGAGGAAGATGAGACCGTCGGAGAAACCAGACAGAAGCGAAAGGAAGAGCACGATAGGCTCGCGGGCGAACATCTCGAACTACAACGCATATATTCAGGTCAATATTCGCAACATTACACGCACTGGACAAAGATAGACTTACCGGCCTGGCCCAGGTCGTCAGGATCTCCTTCATTGAGAACCTCTCCTCCTTCAATTCGCCGGGCCCATAGAGCACCCTATCCATCTCGTTCACCTTCCCACTACCCGCACGGCCCTTCTTTGCGATCTTTCTCCTGCGCTTCGCCTCCTTGTCCAAGATCGCACTTGGCAACGTCTCTGGAACGAGGAAAAAGTGGATGGCCTGGACGACACCGCCGAAGATAAGTTGAACCCAGAAGTTCCAGTGCCAGTCGAGGTTGGCTTGGAGAAAGCCGCCAACGATGGGGCCGACGACGGAGCCACCGACGGAGGAGAGAACGACGAAGGCAATGGCGTATTGTTGGTCGTCGGCGTCCCACATGTCAGCGACTGGATGTATGCGCATATACCGTAGTGAGAAAGAAGAGGAGGTGGACGTCAAAGGGCAAGGTCAATATATGCGCATATATCGAGATCAAATAATGAAGACATACCCATTCCGAGAGTGACACTACCACCAGCGCTAGAAAGACCGCCAAGGAAGCGACCGACAACCATGGCGCCGTAGTTGGGTGCAAGACCACAAAGAATCTGCCAGACTGCGAAAACGCTATCAGACTGCTGGTGTTCAAATGCAAAAGGCGACAAGACATACTGTTGACCAAGAACAAACTGCACTGCAGGATCGGCCACCTCCCCAGCTCCTCGCTCCACGGTGCCCATAGCTCACTCCCGAAAGCATACGCCACGAGGAATATCATCTGGGCGACTCTCATCGCCTGCAGACTCACCCCGAAATGGTCGGCGAGCAATGGGACGGCGTTCGGGAACACCGATGCGTTGAAGTTCATAGAGACCTGGACGGCGAAGATGACGGAAAGAACCTGCCATTTGCGCCACGTCGGCCAAGAGTAGCCGAGGATGTCGAAGGCGTCGTCCTCGGTGAGCTCACGCTTGCCGTCTGGGCGGAGGTGGCCGTGAGGGTTTGGGGCCTCGGTGGGATGGAAATCTTCAGAGTGTTCGATGGAGGCCCTAGGCTCGTACTTCGGGTCAGTCTTGGACTCTTGCAGAGTTGTTGTCTGTGATGACTCGTTCATCGTTGACGGAGGAGTACGTCAGAGATGTTGTCGGGTGTGGAGGATGCGGGGTGGGGATGATGGGGGTGGAGAGGTGGGGAAAAAGAGTGAGGCTTCGGTGAGCGCGAAGGACGAGCTATTTCTACCATCGCCGGCGCTGGTTGAGTAAGAAAACCGGGAGGACCGGACTGTTTCTGAATTCTCTGACGTCTGGAGGAGCGAGAGAGAGCGCACGGCTGAGGAGCGTTGGAGAACGGCAAAATGATCAATCAACGACTCAACATTCCGGCATCCCGGCTACTTACCCAATCCGTCACCGTCATCTGTCCACCGTCCAATCAAAGCAAGTCTTCGGCCTCTTCCATCTCTCCGCGCCCAACCGCCGGCTGCATTCCTCGGACCTCCACCTCTGCCTCCGTTTCTGCCGCCGGTCAAGTCATGTTCCTCTCCGCTTCAACCAGCAGCGCCACAAAGGCGATCCCGACGCTCAGCTGACCCCCGGACGCTCTTGGTTTTACTTGAACGGTCTTTTGAGCTGGTACGGTGAACTGGGAGCTCGCTGGAGGACAGAGTGTTCGCTTCTCTTCCTTTCTTTCCAGTTTCTCTGCCCGGATGGACTGATTCTGCCAGATACGCTTTGATTCGGACTCTGATAGCACGAATCACCCACGACCTGACGTCAGTTCACTGCTCCTCCACTGACATCCCGGCCGGGTTCCCATCTTCGATGCCCCAGACGGTTGTCTGCGGAGCGCATCAACCCCAGAATCAAAGCTGGAGAAGCCAAACCGTCGCGTACGGTATGTGGATTCCTATTGTCAGCACTTTTTTTAGTATGACGTCGGTGCCGCATCTGTGTCTGTGCTGGTTGGAACGGGTTGTTCTGTGAGCATAGGGCTTTCGACAAGGTTTCGAGGTCGAGCTATAGTTTGTATGTTGTCGGTATCGCTATCCGGTACGCATCCGTTCACACACAATCGACTACGTACCGTTCGAGTCTCGAGCTCCTTCCAGCACCGACCCCAGAGAGATCTGCTGCACTCGGTCAAATGGGGCATCTCACTTGGGAATGTCTTATGTTGAACCCCTTTTTTCGCGGTCGTACGGGCTGCCGTACAAACCCAGCAAGCTCATCGTATCCGTCAACGTGTTCGGAACTTGCACGGCGTCCCTATCGTTGACCATGAGAGTCGCTCTTTGTGCGTCTTCGACTGCTTCCCTTCTCGGAGGCGGTTTACCCACTTGCCATACTCCCACAGCAGCCTACGCTATCAAAGCATAAGCTTGATGATCGATAGATTCTTTCAAACAGAGTTCACTGGACTCAAATCACGAGAGGAAGGCGAGGGTCGACCGTTGTGTGGATGGCTCTCATTGCGCTGCGATGCTCTCTTCTTGACTTCCTCACAGTTCCTCGCCGCACAAGCATGGCTTTTGCGGATGCGATGGAATTCACTTCACGGCTGCACTTTCCTCTACCACAGTGGAGTGTAGCTATGGTCAGCCGCCCTGCTCACGTGTGCAGTCGTAAATACAGACTGCTGTGTTCCGACGTTCTATTTACATCGACGCGGAACAACAACCTTTAGATGCCGGACTCATGGTTTATCACTCGATATCTTGCTACTACTCCCTTATGCGCCGAACAAAAATCTCTTCATGCCCAGTCCACGGAGATGAAATGCATACAGTACGCATCTGTCAGACCCACGTTCGCTTGCTCTTCAACTAAACAACTCAACAACATGGTCGATCGTTGTGATTGTCCTAGATCGTCTTCCGATCTCTCGCACGCCCTTTAGGTTTGGTTGAGATATCTTGGGTACTGGGTTTTGCGTTAGCATATGTTTCTCCGGTTGGTTGAAGACTATACAGCGTCCGAGTCGAGCCTTCGGTCGAGGATACACACATATGCAATATCCTCCTATGCGCAACGGGTGCGGTTGGAAAATGAAGTCTTTTTCGCGCTCATCCGGGTTATACCGAGCAAGCAACCTCACCGTCTTTGTTAATGTGCCTGTGTCTTGAACGATATCCCTATTATTGGCTCTGAGAATCGCATGAAAGGTGCTTAATACTCTGCTTCGCTTCTCGGAGACATTTTATCCATGGTTTGCCGCCACAGGAGCCCGCGCTATCAAGCCTATGGGCATGATAATCGATGTCATCTTTGAAAGAGAGTTCAGTGTATTCAAATGATGACGAACATAGGATTCGAACGTGGCGATTCATCTCTATCTTGGCTGATATGCTCTCGTTTGCTGATCCTCGCTGTGCACAGACGACTTATACGCGTGCGATGGACTTCACGGCTCCGCTATCTTCTAACGTGGAGTGCACGTAGGGCCTGCAAGGCGTCTCATGCGACTGCATATCAGCATATCGTTCAGAATGAACCATGTTTCTACAGTTTATCCCGACCACTAGAGCTTCCAAAGCGGGGACCTTGATTCACAGCATGTAAGTTCGTTCGTTCCCGTCCACTCTCGACCCGCACAAAAAATAATTTCCCCTCCTCAAGACTTGTTCCTCGAAGTTGATCCTCTTAGATCCACAATATGTCATCGTCGATCATCGCGATTACGATTGCCCTTTATCTTGGGTTTCTCTTCTTCTCACTCTCTTAACCGTGAGGATAGTACCCTGAGCCTGAACACACAAATTTTTAAAGTTAAGATTTAGTATCCCCGGTTGGACGAGGACCGTCTAGAGTCTTTGTTTATCTTCTCGTGATGCATACACACGAACCTTTCGATGCGTTTTGTATGCGGATATCGCATGATCTAGGTTATGGTGTTCAACTCTCATTATTAGTCGACGTACTTACATGCCTTTACCCCGTTTATTCACTCGATGTCTCATGGGCATCATGTCGCGTATCTCGATAGTACTATCGAGGTCAATCGCATCGAGACCTGCAGTGTTTTTTTACGAAGAAGTAACGTTGCACGCCGTTCACCGTCGGGGAACTCGGATCCTTGGTTTGATTGTGAGATTGGACGACTCGGAATTTTCCTGTATGGTAGGACATCGGAGGGACGAGACCAAGGGACGATCGTACTGATTCATTTTTTCTTGGATCAAGATACCCAGAAGCCAGTGCTCATGTACGTCATACAACTTTCACTAGGTATCTTCAAAAGCCCACATTGAATCTAGTAGCTTGTGTAGAGTTCTTGTGGAATTCAGCACCCATCGCGCGTTACACCCGAAATGGCCAACCAAGACCCGGTCGTTCATGTCTATGGGAAAAATACTTCAACCTTCTCACAAGACAACTGCCGCAGACAAGACGTGGATGTAGACCTGTCGAGAAGAGGACACAAGTAAGTTAGAAACCAATGTGGCGCGCCACTTGTTGCCGCGCAGCGGCGGGAAAACGCGGGCCGCGAAGCTATTGGCTTCCGGTACAATTCCCAATTGAGTGCTTGGCTTGGCACCACGACCACGACCTACCACGCATTGTCCATGATCGCAGACTTCACGGCCTCTTCTCGTCAGGAGAGGGATATTGACTCTTGACTGGTGCATTTCGCCCTTTTTGCCGCTACCTGTATGAAACAAACTCTCGAGATTCTCTGTACCGCCAACTTGGTGCTGCCCGTACGACGAAGCTGGCCATATCGGCGCACCGGGATAGGCGATCTAGCCTCTCTGTTTCTAGCGCCTCGCCTAGTAGACGGTTGAACGTCTATACGGGTACTTGGGACTGGATGCGATGGTAGAATGACGACAAGAACGTCGTAGAGATCAGGACCAGATTGAGAATATATCTCGGCATGTTTTTTTTCTGTCATTGGAGGGTACGTTGTTTTCCTTATCATCGCTTTCTTCTTTCTATGTTTCATGGACATATACTTCGAACAGCAAGCTCCTTTCATCGGGGCTTTCCAAACTTACCGTCATTCCGGGCCCCACAAAGTTTCCGACGCGGAGGACTGCCGTGGGAAGACACTTTCGACTGGAAGGCACTGTTCATGTCAGTGAGATGATGTTATATGCGTCTCTCCTCACACGTTAAGGCAAAATTTTCTCTATCTTCTCTAGACCGGGGCCTCTTCGGCCATTGGGAGGTGAATCTCCCGGAGTAACCTTGATTGATATGCTGACTGTCGCACTTTCAGCTCGTCAAATATCTCTTGTGTTATCAAGTCTAGATGGCCAGTCCAGCATTCTCTCAATTGCGTGTACTACTGGACGGTATGAACTCTTCACCCTGGGCGATCGCTCATACTCTCACCTATTATCTGGAAGACAATATGCAACATGCCTGCCATTCCGTTACGTGCGTTCGAGACCCTGATCCATTCCCCCTCTCATAACATTTGCTTTGAGGCTCTCCTCCTCTGCGTCATCTATATATTTACCAGATTTCACATGGAGCCCACGTTATTAAAATGTGTGAATCGCCTTTATCCTGTCGATGTAGAGACGTGTCTCGTATGAGGTTCTAGATCAGACCTGTGCGTGTGCTTTATGTTCTCTAGCTCATTGTATCTCAACGGCCGTTCATTCTCACTATGATGTTTTACAAAGGCGCTGAAACTATTATGGATTCGATGACTTGGGCAGATCCGACTCCGGAACGCGCATCGACGTGACGAGCCTCCCATTAGTGCTGAGATGTATTTTAAACCCTGGAATAGCGCTGAAATTCGTTATATAGGCGCCTCTTTTTCCACTAGGACCTCTTTCGGGGCTTCACGACATTCATCGGTCCGAGTTCATATATACATGAGACTTGGATGAATTGATGAGTTTCAATCCAGGTAGGTTAGTTCTTTTATACTTATTCCCCTTCGCCCTTTGGGCCTTCTGGAATACGTTTACTCGAAATGTATCGTCTAATCAATCTAGTCTCAGGAATGCTCCCAAGATGAGAGCAGTGGGAGTATCATCGTAACGCAAACGGTACTGTTCCTCTTCTCGCTATTTTGGTTGCTGTACAGATTCAGATTATCTGCGGCTGACATTACTGCTGACACTACACGGCATGTCGAGAGGATATAAAAAGGGTTTGTATGTTTCATCGTACACAGCATCGTCCCAGCTTGTCGCAATACACGCCCAGCTCTAATGACGGCCCTTACTTCTCTGTTATTCAGCCCTCGTCTCGGGCGTCTGCTTTCTTTGTTCAGGTACGATAGACCGGCCCGCAAGGATGATTTTGGCCACCACGTTCCGTCCGTACCTACCGTATTTATTTCGAGCTTTAAGTTTCCCTCGTTTCTGTTTCTTGCATGATATACTGAATTTTTCTATGTTCGTCAGCTTGCTCGCATATGATTATCATACCCTTGTGACGTACGGGAATTATCAAGGATTCCAGAAGGAGTTCGTCCACATTTATTCTTGTCCTTCGGAGTTGGCACTCCCACCTTTGATGTGTCTCCGTGATATAACCTGCGAGTTTCTGCGCATTGTTTGAAACACTAATGTCTTGGTCTTCGTAGGTTCCTTTGCATTTGCTTATGCGGAGTAAAGGAGTTTGGACCAGGCCTATTTTCTGATTCATTTTTCGCTGTTGGCCACGAGCATTATACCTCATTGAACATAATGGGAGCTCTTCCCAGACGCCAGGGACCTAAGTGGCTCGAGGACATTCAATGTGGATGCGAGTCGCTAGCGAAGCCGTATATCGGCAACACGGCGCTAGAGTGCAAGGACGTCTCATCGCTTACTCGAATATCAGCATATGCCTGGACGCGTACTGGGCTAGCTTGCAATCGAACTACATCCATCTCGTCCCGGTTGCGAGCATACTCTACACCGACTGTGTTTTGCTATAATACTACTCAAATATAGTTCAACGGGCGCTGTTCATATATGTCAGAAATTATACATCCAGTCGATTGTTCCTATGCTGGTGACCCCATACGGATATTTGTTTGCAAAGGTGTACAGCCCCCAGGATCTATGGATACAATTTGAGAGCGCACGTTGACGACGACCCTTACAATACTCTATCAGGGTTAGCTCTTAACAACTCACCTAGCGCTAGGTGAGTTGTTAAGAGCTAACCCTGATAAAACACTAACTGTGGACTGCTGTGCCATTGAAGAATGTTCCCCGGGGGATCTCCCCGAGTACTAGCGCGGATGAGCGTTGGCATGTACCAAACGTCCAAATTACAACCATTAGGGATTAATTGTTTACAACCACATGAGGGGTTTGAACCGAGGACCTGATGGCACAGCTATAGTGCTTTATCAGGGTTAGCTCTTAACAACCTCATCCGCGCTA